TGATATTATGTCACACGTAGGGGAGAAAAATCATAACCCTTAAACACAATCTAGCTATCACTTTTGTGATTTCTCAAATTAAGTAAGAAACAAACCAAGAAAGAGGAACCTGAAAATTTAAATACCTTGATTCATTTAATGGTGAAGGGCAAAACTGTAGATGAAAAAAATTACAGCATTAATAATTAAAACTCTGTTCTGAAGAAAATTGATTAACAATTAAATAATTGCTACAGAAGACATTTTCCATTCTAGAAACAAAAACTATTTCAAGTACCACACCTGAAGAGAAGTTATCATGCCTGTATGTCCCTGGAGCACTGCTACTGGAACTGTGGATTTTATAGACCACACCCGAATCACCTGAAACAGTTCAAAAAACATCACTTGCTCACTTACTGAGTTGAAAGTATACTTGGCACATGTTGAAGATAATGGTAATAGGACCGAGTGGAGTCTGTCATCACATGGTCTTTAATCATACCAGTGATTCACAATATCTGACATGAGAATGATTACAGACTCAATTAAACGACACAAAGTCCTGTTACCAATTTATCATAACTGTTACAAATTCCTGAAAAAGCAAATACATTTAGGACAAACATCTCTGCTAGAGATAGTGTCTAAAATAAAAAATTGCTCCATTTGGGAAATTTCCCAGTTTTCATCCAGGATAAGTAGTTGTTGCTATGGTTGTTAGGATCAATTCTGCGATTAGTAGATTTAGCTGAACAGCTGTACAGAATGATAAGTGAAAAATAAAACAGCTAATGCACTATCTACATTTGAGGAAACTGTAATGGTTATGATTAATAGACACAGCCACAAAGTACCATAACTCTTTCACTACCTCCACTGGGTAAGCAAGAGATAATTTCTCCTTATAATATAAATACAATATCAAGCAGACAAGTGATGAGAATAAAGAAAAATATCAATTATTGATAAGTTATGACATGAAATGGAGTGCAATTTGGTGTGAATAAGCACTTCTGGTTTTTTCAAGGCTACAAATTGCACTCAGCCTACAGGCTTGTGCAATTTTGTTGACTTTGAAAATTTTACTCATACTTATTTACACCAAATTGTTCTTGAATTCATGTTATTACTTATTGACATGAAAGAAGGATCACAGATAGTCAAGACAGACAAAATTTTGACTGCACACACAAGCTATTAGTAATTTTCACTCATGTTACAACTTTGCACTTGTGTTACATGAAAAATGCACTCATATTTAGCTACTCATGTAATTTTTTCATGTGTAGCAATAAGAAATTATTGTTGATCCAACGCCAAAATCTCTAGGCTAACATCATAAGGATTGTATGACAGACACTATGGATAATCACTGGTGAGATCTGGGATTGAAAAAGTTAAAAGCAATCATGTACAAATATGGCAATAAAGGCCAATTCAGTGATACTGAAATCAGCCAAGCCTAAAAGCAGAGCTTGCATTTTTTTTTCCCACACAACTTGTCCTGGCCAGGACTAGAACCCAGGTGGTCCAACTCAGAGCCCAGTGTACTGACCACTGGACTACTGAACAAAGCTGTGGGGTTGGCGTGCCTGCGGTACAGTTGACCATGCATATCAAAAGTAGCACCTTGTACGGTAGTACAGTCATACATCAAAATTTTTTTGGCTTGATGGGTTACTACTATTTTGTATAATTATGGAGCTACGCTCTGCGAGCTCTGCTATAAAATAATAATGATTGGACAATACCTTATCACAACTTCCAGCTGCAACAAGGTTGTTTTCATAGCTAATTGCAATATCAGATATCTCAGCTTGATGTCCTCTCAAAGTGGCAAGAAGTCTACCATCTTCACTGGACCAGATTTTAACCAAGCTGTCATCAGCACCCTGCGAGACAATTCAAATATGAACAAATTCCTTTTATCACCAGCAGCTTTATTTATAATAACCAAATGATAAGGTCTGGGAAGTACTAAACATGAACTGTCACTGGCTGAGGAACAAGCAAAGCGGAGAATATTATTCTTACAAGCTAGGAGAATACCTCTAGTTTGTGAAGGGTTTTCACAATTTGCTTATTCAGTCTTTAGTTCTTTTACTTCAATGTCTATTGGACTTCTTTAAAATCAACTTACTGTAACAATGCATTTGCCACTTCTGTCAAAGAGCACACAATATACAGCAGAAAGATGACCAAGTATTCTGCGATGCTGTAGAAAAAAATCACAAACAGATGTTACTAACCTTTATAACATGCAGGCTTAAGAAAGTTGACGTAAGCTCTGTACAAATACTTGTGGTTTTTTGGAGTAGAAAAAACTCACCATAGATATTTTTGTGTAAAGATTTGGTTGTGCCACATTTCTGATACTGGATGTTCCACTGATCTCTCTGCTGCATAACACATGACCTGAAATACCATGAAAGGAATTGGTTAAGGTATCATTTTTTTATTAAATGGCTTACCTCAGAGGTCTTCTTAAAGAAGGTAGAAGAGTAATAATCACAACATAGAAACACTCGGGAACTCAGGAACATTAAGGCAGGATATATTCTGAGTCCATTGAGGAAAAATACAAAAATAAGTGAACTGCGCGAACAGACCATTTTCTTAGCAATCACTATTCTACTCTATTTCAAACCTACAAAGGTGTATTTCCTACAGTATATTTTTACTGCTATTTATTTCCTCCATTAGCTTTGCTATTTTGCAGGTAGGGATTGTTAGATATGTATTTTAATTGCTAAAATAAATAAATTTTGTTTGATGTTGTTGTGAATAGACACTAAGAATTGTTTCTGTTCAACATCTCACCAATATTTCCCGGAATCCTTCTTTTTACTGGTGGTAATAATGGTGCTCCATGATAACAAACAGCTAATGAGCTCACACTTGGTTTGCTTGGTTCTTAGAAAAAATAATAATTAAATGAAAGGCATTTCATATGTGCACTAAAAAGATTTTAATGGCTGGAAATTAACAGAGCTTTTTCCTAATAGAGTTTTTTTCCACATAACTTTATCTTGCTCCAGTCTGTAAGCTTCACTCTAAGTGAAGACTAGCTTCACACTAGTAAATTTCAAGTTGTACTGACAGAGGAAGTATTTTGGGAACAAGAGGCTGAAGTTGGTGGGATCAAGTTTATATGATGCTCTAAAGGATCGTTCATTTGATCTAGCAAAAATATTTTTTAGCCATAGATTTTGGTTGAAAGTCTGGGTCACTTCCAACATGTTCCACGTGCAAAATAACATTCGTTCGGCATTTCAGAGAAGAGAATTTATTTAAAAGTTAATGAATCAAACTTCATGCAGTCAGCACACGCAGCGTAGTACCTGAAGATATCCGCAACAAATTCTGCCTTCCAGCTCCGAGCAAGGAACGATAGCCCTCTACACTCCCTGGTACACATTGCTCGACCAAAGGTCCGAGCCGTTTAGCTAATCGCAGTAAGAAATCATCTGGTATGTGGTTATTCTCGGTAACCTAATGGAAAAAATATTGGCGTTGCAGATTCATAATACCCTATGGTTTCCCTCAGATTTTCTACACATTTAATGCCATAGGAAAAAATTATATTTTCAAAACCGCAAGACCACAAAAAATATATGGTACAGAAGATCGCAAACGTTCAATGTGGTAACCAGGCCTTCTTTACAGAACAAGAAAACAAAATGTGTTTATTTTGCATAAAGGAAACCGAAATAAAATTGTTCAGAGCAACTTTGATGTGTTTTTTTACGCCCGATCAAGACTGAAACTTTGAAATCGAAACGAAATTAATACTACAGAAACGAGCGCGAGCGAATCTGTCTTCAGCAGCAACATGACGAGCTGGATATTAGATCTTAAGCCACTAAGCGGCGGAAATGAAATGCTATTTATATTATTCTGACGTCGTGTTGACAGCTGGAATTTCAATCTCCCATTTGCAATACAATAGGAAACTGAGCCGACACGCAGCACCCTCTGATCTGATTGGCTCGCTTGAAATAAAAACCATAAATAACTGATTAGCATATGAATAGACAAAGGCTTGGTATGCATAAGTTGTTGGGTGTCAAACACAGCCTAAATTTCGTAATGAACGCTGCAAAAAACACAATCTGCTTGCCAGTCGAAAATACGCTCGGAAAATAAATTTCTCCATTTTTTGTCGGGCTTCGCCCACACGATGCTAGGAAAATAAAATTTTGTTCCCCGCTTAAAAATCCCCAATAAATTTTCAAGGCTGCAAGTCGAGAAAAAGCTTTAAATCGCGCAGTCGACAAGATCTGTAAATGGGGTAAAAGTGTACCGTTTCCTCGTAGGTTTGGTCATGTTCTTCGCCCCTCCAATCCACACGACGACGCAAAAGCTAAGAGAGGACATACAGGAAAGGATCAACTATCAACATGGCATGAATTAAAATCTATTGTCTGCTTACCTCGCTGGGGTCAAAACTGTTCAACTGAGGAACTTTCTTTGCTGTAAAATATATAATGTTATCGTAGAGGTGTAACTGCACCTATGTCCAACGGGTTTTAGAGAAAAGGGGTACTTACCTGATGTTCGACCAACTCCTCTTTCAATGCCTGCGTGAGAAACGGAACGTGTTGGTTCGAAATTTAAACGGAATAAACCCACGCAAGTTGAACTTACCAATCCAGCACGTACACAGGGGCCCTTCGAGAGGAACTTCGCGATCAGGAAATAAAGTTCTGTAGGATTTCGGACAAGAGAAAAGAACTATAAGGTTACAGGCAGAGGAGACAAAATGTGACCGAACGAAACGAACCTCTTTCAACATCCTCGTCCTCGGTGTTCACCATTCTGGGTTAAGGCTTGTATGAACAAAATGTTCTTCTTGCCAAAATAATCCTACCGTCATCTCAATTGAAGAAAACGTTCGTTCTTTTCGCCATCAACGGTTAAAGCGTGACATGGCGGCAAACAGCATTCGACTTTCTTTTTGTCATGACATCATGCATAATCATAAAGGACGCAGTACGCATGCTCACACGCGACAAATTTCAGTAAAATCGTGACCGGCCGGCTAGATGCTTCTTCTGTTTTGAATCGTGTTGTGTGAAAAGAGTACTAAACTTGTGTTATGTCGTGGTTTAAGGAAGAGAGGAAAACCTCCTTCATAAGAACGTTCTGCAATAATGTCATCAAAGCCGGTCAGATTCCTAAACACGTTGCCATCATAATGGACGGGAACAGAAGGTTTGCGAAGAAGGTGAAGTGCGAACGTTCAAAGGGACACGAGAAGGGTTTTGAGAAGTTAACAGAGGTGAGATACGCGGCTATCATTTGCTGAGTAAGCTTATGTCTGCAGGAAATTTTAGTATAGCTTTTAAGTTATATTCAAACTATTTCGGTCAAAATATCTACTAGAGATCCCAAGGTAAAAAATTATAAGGCTTGCGCGAAATTTTCATCACTCACTCGGTGTATAAAGTACAATTGAAATGAAAATGTTGATTGAAATAAAAAGAAATAGGATCAAAACGATGATTTTATCGATGAAATATGATGGTTGAGCAAAACGATTGCTCTATATTCAGTTAAGGTATTGACTAGCCTTTTTATTTTTGTGGGGAATTTTGACATACGCATACATACATGAAACCTGATACTTCAGTCATCTGACTTCATTTTTGCATGATATTGCACAATTCATTGACTCTTAGGATCTGAAAGTTGACCCTTTTGGGTGTTCCTGAGAATCTGAAATTATATCAAAACAATGTTCCTCCAAAATGATAATGTTCTTGTTTCTTTTTGACTGTCTGCACGGTAGTTAATGAAAAATTGTAAGGAAAAAGTTTCATCTTATCAGTCCTGGGAATGCAAAGGTGAAGCCAAGAATGGGTTTTTTCCTTTCTTTTGTTTTATTCAAGGGAGATCAGTAAATAGTGCTGTGATGCACTCTTAGTTTTTAACATTTTGGGTAAAAGATCCTAACCAAAACAACCAATGATCATGGTACACTGTAAATGGATTTTGAGTTGAACACAAGAAGAGAAATTCCATATCTACAAACAACTGTGTATTATTTTGTTTGTCATACAAACACCATAAGCCTTTACTGACAAAAAAAGTTGACTTAAATAATTCATCAACTCAGCAGAGTGAAGTCAAAGGTAAGTGACCCAGTATCAGCTGATTGGTGATATCAAAAACACAAAAGAAGTTATCATAACTTACTTGTGCACAGTTATGGCTTTTCCTAGGGCTGGAAATCCTTGTAAACACTGAAGTTTGTATAATAATGCACTATCATCCATTATTTGTTGTGTGTCAAAATCCATAATATCATTTGGGTGCATTTATTACAACATAATTAAAAGTGAATGTCACCACACTCTTCTTAATGATCCTTTTTCACTCATTACAGGTGCTGGAATGGTGTTTTGATCTTGGAATACCAGAAGTTACAGTTTATGCATTTAGTATTGAGAATTTTAAACGATCAAAAGAGGAAGTGGATGGACTCATGGAACTTGCCACACAAAAATTTGATAGATTGATGGAAGAGAAGTAAGGACATACATTAGTGATGAAACACATTTATTTGTTTTAACCTTTAAATTCCCATGAGTGACCAAGACAGAGGTATTCCTAGCAGTATCAATATAAAATCTAACAGTCAAGTCATGATAATAAAGAAACATGTAAAAAGTAGGGGATTTTTATGTGATCCAAAAATAAATTCTTAGAACTACATGTACATGTAACAAATAAAGAATTGTATAACAGACAGTAAGAAGAATCACTAATGAGATCTTGGGAGTGGAAGGGTACAGTACCACTTGTGCATACGTTAACTAAAAAACATCTCATCACTTGTCTGTTAGATTCTGTATTGATATTGTGAGGATAACTTCTGTCTAATTAGTCACTTATGGGAATGAAAGGGTTAACACACCAAAAATTGCATGCAAGTGCTAATAAAAAGAAATGTGCATGTCAAAAAATCACACATGCGCACATAAGCTTGATACAATTGCTTTGTTAGTATGCATGAGGTATACCTTTTGTTTTTTCTATTGTTGGGAATTTATTGTTTTAACCCTTTAACTCCCATGAGTGACCAAAACAGAATTTCTCTTTACAATATTAATACAATATCAATCAGACAGGTGATGAGATTGTAGTAAAGTGTAAGTTTGAGGATTTTCTAGTTGATCCAGTACCAAATTCTCAGAACTAGCATCACAGGAATTGTATGACAGACAGTAAGGAGAATTACTAATGAGAACTTGGGCAATAAAGGGTTAAAGAATAGACTACAATGAAATAGCACTAAAATACTACACAAGGAGTTTGTTTCAAGTTCCATTTGAACTGACCTTCCCAATAGGCTTTTACATATGTTAATATGAAACTTGTAGAACGAATAACAAGCTCTCATGATCCAATCATGTCGACACTCTGTATTGTTTCAGGACTTTCCTGAACACAGAAAGATTCTCAGTCTCCTATCAAGAGTTATCTAAATTCTCCTGGAAATAACAAAATTCGATTTTTTTTCTAAGAGAGGAAATCAAGTAAATATTTTTTATGAAGATGAGAAGGGAAGTAGGCTTGGAGAAGACCAAAGCAATTCTTAAACCCATTGGATTTGTCATGAGTAAGAGTAAGAGTAAGAGGGGTCGATTATTGCATTACAGTATGGAAAAGTCTATGGGTTATCTTTACACTAAAAAAAGAGAATATAAAAATTACATTAAAAAGTTACAAAATTTGTGTGTTGCACCCTGTCACTCCACTGGAAGCTGGCAAAAAGAGAAGAAATTGGCAAACCACCATTTTGCCCATTGTGTTAGCATGGCTTTTTCTTGATTTCTAAATGACTTTTACCTGGCCTTAAAGTTGTCCCAGGAAAGAGCAATCTCTTGTACCTAATAACCACATCAGGAGTAACAACACCTACCACTATGATTGAATGAATTGTATTTTTTTTGATATTCATTTTTGTATTTTAAGAGAAATGATCATGAAGCATGGAGTTTGTGTGAGAGCGCTTGGTGATCTCACCATGTTACCAGAAGAGTTACAAAGATCAGTAGCAAGAGTTGTGAAATATTCTCAAAATAACACCAAGTAAGTTGGAGCCATGTTTATAAACCTTTATCATACACATAATGGACATGGGAAAAACTAATTTTCCAGCCAAGAGACCCTTAACTGCTCATGCACTTATTCCAGTTTCTATTATGGAAAAATTACTCTTCAGGAGTATTAGTTGTGCCCCTGATCTGGATACTAGTTCATAGCAAATTACATATGTCCCAGGGTAATTAATTATTATCAAGTTTAACTGATTTGATTTTAAATAAATTAGCCCTTCATCAGAGCATCGTCGTCATTGTTCTGACGCAGGGCCAATGCTCAAAACATCAGCTTTTAAACTCCTTACGGTGGCTTATTTACATTATCAACTTGTTTGATAATACTAAGTTACCTTGTTATACTCTCCCACCAATGCAACACCATAGTTACTTTAGAAACTTACCCCCTTTTTACATATATCCCAGCCAGCATTTTATTTGGTGGTTATGTTTATAGTGTGTTGGCCTAATAAATAATTAGAAACTGACTTGAAAGGTGATGGTTTGCATCTTGGTCATTTGTGCCATCCTTTCAATCCAGGAGTATAAATGGGTACTGCTGGATTGTCAGGAGAGAAGTAGAATGATAATTTGGGAGTGGGGTGTTTTGGTGAGGGGGGAGATGTAAAGCATTTGCTAATGATAGAAGCCTCTTCTGTATGAGGGTCTGAGACCATGTTCCTTAAGAAAACTCAGGAGTAACCTGATGAAATCCTGATAGAATTATATGTATTACTTCATCCAGGCAGATTGTCAAATTTATGTATATCAGTGTTGGTATCTGCAATAACAGCCATATGTACTGTAATTTAGACTTGTTTTATCTGCTGATTTGGTGGTGTTCATTTGATAAATTTTGGATGATCTTTAGCTTTTACCTTCAAATAAATGTTGAGTACAGTTAAAATATATTCTTCAAAAGCTAAGATGCTTAAAAAAAATTATGTAAAGAATTTATATGCACATTGAAATATCTTACTATCTTCTGGTAAAAAGCAACGTAACTGGAACCAATATCAGTTTCTTATCTTTATTTGTATTTACTTCTTCCAGAGCAACCTTGAATGTTTGCTTAGCATATACATCAAGACATGAAATTTCAAATGCTGTTAAATTAATGGCTGAAGGTGTTGAACTTGGTTTATTAAAAGCAAGGTACATGTAGTAGTCCTTTACAGGGGTACAATTGTTATCTGAAATGGTAGTAACTCCCCTCCAATAAGCAGTGCTTTAGTAATCGTAGAGAACTGTGAAATAAAGGAAGGTATTCATTAGAAGGGTTGGGGAAGGATGGTGAGAGAGAATTTCTTCAAAACTTTCAAGAGAAGTTCTTTCTTAGGACAGAATCTGGCTGTTACATGTACGTGAAATCATATACCACATTTTGTCTTGTACTATGGTTAAATACATCAGCAAACTTTTTATACAGCTATAAATAGTTTTTTTTGCATCTTGTGATTTCAAAAGGACAAAGCTACTGTAATCTGAGAACATCAGAGCTACACCAATGTTCCTTTAGATGTTTAAAATACACTGTACAGCAGTTCATTGCATCTTGAGTGTTTTGACTTAAACTGCTTCTTTTCTTGACAGTGATATTAGTGAGTCATTACTAGAGAAATGTCTCTACACATCACACTCCCCACACCCTGATATGTTGATAAGGACATCAGGAGAGGTGCGGTTTAGTGATTTCTTATTATGGCAGGTGAGAGAAAAAGAGATTTGATGTTGATTTAAATGCAGAAAGGCTAGCGAGTCTGGTTGGAGAACTTTGAAAGATTTATAAGCCTACATTATTTGTAAACATGTATATGTATGAAACTTGTCTGTCGATACATGTATAGTTTGAATCTAGTTGCTCTGCTTTTATTGTCTGTTTTTCACTATCTGTGATTGGTACATTTCAATCGTACCCAATCAAATGCATTCATCTTGGCTGATGAGAACTAACCAATCACAGCCTCATTCTTGATGCGATGATGTTATACCATTCAACCTCATCACTCAAAGGAGACTAGCCACATATGCATTTGTAATATCTCAGACAACCTTGGAAAGGCCTGCATTGCAAGACAAAGAATGATAAGTTCTAACAAATCATAACCATTTAATTTTAAAGGTCTCTGAGACTTTGCATTGAGTGAATGATATTCCTTAAGGATTACTCAGTTGTTGCCCTGATAATTTTTTTTTAAAATCTGTGAATCCCTGTTGAATAGTTGAAAATAATGTTTTATTTTTCACTCATTTTGTTTCAGTGTTCATATTCCTCATTGTCATTTCTCAAAGTTTTATGGCCTGAGTTTTCAGTGTGGGATTTTTATGGAGCCATTCTCTCATTCCAGTGGAATTATAAGGCATTCAAGGTGAAGGAGACTTCTGTAATTCATCATATTTTGTTTTCCTCATCACAGGCACATTCTAGAAATACATCTTTGGGTGTTCCTGGTTTTTTGTTTGTTTGTTTGTTTTGCAGCAAACCTCTTGATACTTTTTGATAACTTTTCACCTTAATATGATCTAATACAACACTCTTTGGGCCATGATTTTCTTTCTTTATTTAAAAAGATCTTATTGTTTCATAAAGTGGAGTGACTTTGAGCAAAACAACCTGCAAACTCTTGCAGGACGCTACTGAGAGCTGTAGGATAAAGCAAACACAAGCAGAGTTGGACTGGGAGCTACAATGTGTGTTGGATGAAATGGCAGGAGTATCTGTTTCAGTCTCCAATGGCAATGGTCACATGCCAAACACAAGATCAGCATTTGAACAGAATGGCACCACAACTGAAGAAATACCCTTAACAAATGGTTACCATGGGCTTCAAACAAGCATACATAATGTTGAAGAACTTATTACTAAGCCTTGCATTCAACAGAGACTAGAAACTTATAGAGAATTGAAGCAATCCAGGATAGATAAATTTCTTGCACATTTGGAAAACAGACAAGTGGAATATCTAGATAGAATATGTCCAAAAGTGATGTGAGAGTACACTTGTTGCATGAAACCAGACAGACTTTATACTTTATATAATAAAAATAGAGCAAAATTGAATGTTGCTCAGCCTAGCAAAAGGAAGTTGATCCATTCAACTATTCACCAATCAGTTGATGCATTAGAACAATCAAAACTTTAATTACCTGGAGTAACTAAAGATATTACTGCATTTTAAAGAGCACTTACCTTCAATCAAATCAACTCCAAATTGCTTTTAAAAG